TGTCTCCGTGATTCAGCCTTCCCTGGCCCCTAAAATATGTGACTCCTATTTCTACTTGTTCCTACTGACTCTCTATTAAATTTTCCCCGAGGTTTAATGTAAATTGAGCTGAGCTTTGGATTTAATTTATTTTTAGATTCACCACTGCCATTGCCCTGGGGTCAGCCCCAAGTTCAGTATAGTTTGGGTTTTCTGTACTTCCTTTCCACAAGTTTTGAGAATGAGAATGTTTTTATATTCAAATTTAAGACTTATGCATGTGTCAATGTCAGGATTTTAGAAGCAAGTTTCAAAAACAGGAAGTATCTCCCTAGTATATGTTCATCTACTAGTAAATCCACACTTCGTCTCCTCTAACTCACTCATTTCTTACCCAGCTTGATCCAATAAACAACTTGCGTGAATTTTAAGCATAAAGGATATTCAGACATCTGGGATGTAAAACGTGTTAAAATGACATGTCAGCTGAGCTAGATCAATAAATATCATTCCTTAAAATTGAATCTCAACCAAATGGAGTTGAAAACTTAGGTCCATACAAGCCTCCACGATTGTTTATAGCAGTTTTAGTCATAATTGCTCAAAATTGAAAGCAACCAAGATGTCCATCAATAGGTAAATGGATTAACAAACTGGTACATCCACACTATGGAATATTATCAATAATAGGAAGAAATGAGCTATTTCAGCCCTGAAAAGACATGAGAGAATCTTTTTTAAAAAAATATATTGTATTGATTTTCCACAAAGAGGAAGGGAGAGGGATAGAGAGCTAGAAATGTCGATGAGAGAGAAACATTGACCAGCTGCCTCCTGCACATCCCCTATTGGGGATGTTCCCGCAACTAATGTACATGCCCTTGACCGGAATCAAACCTGGGACCTTTCAGTCCACAGACCGACACTCTATCCACTGAGCCAAAGCAGTTTCGGCAAGAATCTTAAATACATATTGCTAAATGAAAGGAGTCAGTCTGTAAAGGCTACATACTATATAATTCCAACTACATGATATTCTAGAAAAAGCACAACTATAGACATAATAACAAGGCCAGTGGTTGCTGAGGAGCTCAGCGGGAGGGAAGGAAGGACGAATAAGGGATTTTTCGGGACCATTTTGTATGATACTGTAATGGTGGATGCATGACATTAGGCCTTGATCAAAACCTGCAGAAAGCAAAGTGCGAATCTTAATGTAAAGTGTGGGCTTTAGCTAATAATAATGTATACATATTGGTGCAGCAACCGTAACAAATGTACCACACTAATTCAGGATATTAATAACAGTGAGATGCTTAGAACTTCTTTTGTAATTTACAGGTTATCTGATTCTTCTATGAAGAATGCTTCACAAAGAAAGAACATTGAAATCACCCATAACCTAGAAAACCAGAGAGAACTTCCATTTATATACTTTTTAAAAAATACAAATGTGTTTATTTCTAGCCTGCTGCTCCTTCCCAGGATAATAAAATGCTTCTTCCATGGCTTATATAGACAAGCTGTACAAGTATGTGTGCATAGAATGTAGAAACTCCTTCCGAAGGTTACTCTATAATTTACCCTGGGCGGTTGGGATTGAGGTGCGGAGGGAGGGCCTTTTATGTTATACATATATTTTTTGCTATAGACGCATCTGAATCATGTTACTATTGTACAATGAGCATGTGTTACGTTCCTGCTTTTTAAAAGTACCAATAGAATGTTTAAACAAAGGACCCACTGTATCCACAGGTGGTTCTCTCTGCTTATAGGACAGGTCACTCTGAATGGGTTGGCCTGTCACCAGCATGTGTGGGACCTGGAGGGGTGGATAGGGGCGCTTTCCTGCACTTGAATCTCCATCCCCTAGCCAGGTGCAGCTGCCTAACACAAGCTGGTGGCCAGGCCCCTTCCCAGCAGGCTGGTCCACATCCCTCTAGGTTTGTTACGTTTATTCTACTGTCTGAATACGTGTACTAGTTTTTCCTTGAATAATTAATTTTTGAAAATCTTTTAATTCTTTACTTTTAAAGTTATATGTATTTCACTTCTCTTATTCTAAAAATCCTTTAACACTTTGAAAATGTTTTCCCTCATTTTCATTCATTTTATGAATTTCTAAAATTAGTTTAACTGCAATAAAACCTGCAATTTTGACATTCTAATGTATGCCAATTCCAGCTCCTTAACACCACTGTAACCAATTTTGGAATTGGAATGGGCCGCCCAGATAGCATTATCCTCCATGCACAGCAGGAAGCTCGAGCCCAGAGGGGTTGGCTGTGTGGCCGTGGGCAAATCACTCACATAGTCTGAGGTGGAACGGAGGGCGACTCCAAGTGATAAGAGCCAGCGCCAGGAGGGTGGCGACTGCCCTTGGCTGGTGACCTCTCCCTCCCTCATCCTATGCTCTCCTGGCCATTCACAATTCAGTCTGAATAGCTGCAGTCTTTTTTTTTTTTTTAATATATTTTATTGATTTTTTTTTACAGATAGGAAGAGAGTGGGATAGAGAGTTAGAAACAACGATGAGAGAGAATCATCGATCAGCTGCCTCTTGCACACCCTCTATTGGGGTTGTGCCCGCAACCACGATACATGCCCTTGACCGGAATTGAACCTGGGACCTTTAAGTCCACAGGCCGATGCTCTATCCATTGAGCCAAACCGGTTTTGGCAGCTGCAGTCTTATACCAGGCTTCCAGCTCCTCATCTGAAACCCTCCCCACAGGACTTTGGCCCTGGGCTGGCAGCTGGTCCTACCCTTTGGCCCTGGTGCCTTTCAGTTTGGTTTCTGCAGAAGGGACCATGTGACTCACAGGCAGGTGCCCAGATCTGCAGTACATCTGCTCCATTCCAGTCAGATCTGAGGACACCTGAGAGGGCACAGGGTCCTTCACAGGCAGACCCCAAACCACACTGCCCTGGAAGGCACAGTCCCAGCTTTGGTCAGCCAGGGATCGGCCTACCGGCAAGACAGGAGCCCTGGGCCACGGCCGGTCAGAACCAAGGCCAACCACTCTTACGAGCAAGAATTATGTGGGAAACTTGATTAAACAAGTAGGACAGGGAGGTGGGGAGCCTGAGCTGGGGACAGACAGCCCACAGGACCAGTCAGCTGTCCAGATCTGGCCATCCACACAAGCGCTGACCAAGCCTGAAGTAAATACTTTTCATTCTGGAGAGCTTAGGCCTTCTTGGACCCCTAGTTCAGAACCTGGGTCTCTGGGGATGAAGGAAGGTCAGTGTCTGTGTTTGATAACACGGGATATATCCCCACACAGATTCCAAGAGGCTGGGCGATCTGGGCCTGGAGCCATGAAGGAACTGAGACGTTGGTAGTTTTAAGGTTTTCAGACATTTGTGGCCACTTGTGAACCTGTCACTTCAAGCAGCTACTGTTTGTTTGTTTGTTTGTTTGTTTGTTTGTTTTCATTGACTTCAGAGAGGAAGGGAGAGGGAGAGAGAAATATAGATGTGAGAAAGAAACATTGATCAGCTGCCTCCTAAATGCCCCCTACTGGGGATCAAGCCCACAAACCAGGCATGCACCCTTGACCAGAATCAAACTCAGGACCCTTCAGTTCGCAGGCCAACACTCTATCCACTGAGCCAAACTGGCTAGGACAAGCAGCTATTCTTTAAATAGAAAATGTGGTCTTACAATATGAGTAGGGACTCAGCACTGGGGGGGAAGAGTGGAAAGACCGTGGCAACTGCCTTCCTGGCATGTCACCTTGCATCCAACACTCAGCAACACTGAGCCCAAGAATTAACCAGAAAGCAGACAAACTATCAACCATTTCCACTCAAGCAAGAACTTCGGTTAGGGTGGGGTCTCGGTCATCCAACCCTAAGCAGCTTATTCAAATATTCATTCCAGCCCCAATGCCTTGTCATACCCTCCCTTGAGGTGTTCTAGAAACAGATTTCCCATCTTGTCGTATGCCCAGTGCTCTCTTAGCACTTTTTATGGGCTGGTCCCCCTTAGCACCCAACCAGCTGGGCCTGCCCCAGAATCTTGCCCTGCTAACCCCTCCTTTTAGTGTGAGAATAGGTCAGCCTATTCCCGATTACTGTCATGTGTGAGTTGGCCCCTGAACAAGAGTGTGGGCCCTTGAGGGGAGGGCTCAGTCTTCTCCTGATTAAAGGTCTACACACAATCTCTGGTTCCACACATGTCAGAACACCTAAAGGCTCAGATGCAAAGACAATTAAATATTGGGTAATATTTGAACAAAAAAAAAGTGTAAAGCACAAAAAATAATAATTCAGTGTTTATCAAGCTTTTGGCACAGGGAAGAGTTTTGAACTTTGCTGTGTAATAGATGACAACACAAAAGATGAGCCCAACAAATGAAGGGTTTTCAAAGTAAATACACCTGTTTGAGTATAATTACCACTTTGCAGATGAGGGTACTAAGTGTAGGAAAGCTGAGTGATTTGAAAAGGGCACATCCCTCAGTTTGAAAGAGCAGAGCCAGCATTTCAGCCCAGGTGTGCCCAACACAAAAGATTGTGCGCCTGAGGACCAACCTTCAGTACTGCATTGTGCCTACTGGATGCTAGGACATGTGAACTACGCATAAAACTGTATGTAGCCGAAACCGGTTTGGCTCAGTGGATAGAGTGTCGGTCTGCGGACTGAAAGGTCCCAGCTTCGATTCTGGTCAAGGGCATGTATCTTGGTTGCAGGCACATCCCCAGTAGGGGGTGTGCAAGAGGCCCATGGCTGATGTTTCTCTCTCATTAATGTTTCTAGCACTCTATCCCTCCCCTTTCCTCTCTGTAAAAAAATCAATAAAATATATATATTTTTAAAACTGTATATATACACATATATACAAGAACAGATATTCCAATACTGAGTATCCCATGACAAAGAATATCTATCGCTTTTAAAAGTTTAGGAAGATATATAAGTAAAGCAAGAGAAAGGAAATAAAACCATTTGTAAAAGAGGAAAAACAACAAGAAAATAAAACATGTTCACTCTCTGGTGATTAAAAACACAAAGGAAAAATGGGGGGCTTCAGTCATGAGTGGCACCTGTAGGGCAGCTGGATTGCTCTACATGCGGAATCAACATTAAGAGATTTCGGAAGCATAATTTTTTGCTATCTGAGAAGTTGATCGTAAGTCCTGGTGCCCATGGAGGGGGTGGGGGGAGGTGGAGTGGGGCAGAGAGCCACAAAAGCAAGTTGAATAAAGCACCCATTGCTGCAGATTTAGTGGAAGGGTAAAAACCACAATGGCCATGACTAATGTGAAACTGGTATCTTCAGGCATTATTAAAGACACCAAGAAGACACCTCCCCCTTAGGGAATCAGTCTGGTTCTATATATCCAAAGTTTTATAATGTTCTACTGTTAGTGAACGCTATTTTTAGTTATTCAACTGATATTACCGTGAATCTGCCGAAACGGTTTGGCTGAGTGGATATAGAGCATCAGCCTGCGGACTAAAAGGTCCCAGGTTCAATTCTGGTCAAGGGCATATACCTTGGTTGCGGGCACATCCCAAGTAGGGGGTGTGCAAGAGGCAGCTGATCGATGATTCTCTCTCATCAATGTTTCTAACTCTATCCCTCTCTTCCTCTCTGTAAAAAATCAATTTTTTTTTTAAAGTAATTACCATGAATCTGTTATGTGCCAAGCACTGAACCAGGTGCTATTGGAGTAAACGGTTAGCAGTGTGGGTCTTGACACCAAGGATGGCCATGACCTGTTGGGGCCTTTGTGTACATGAAAGAGAAACAAACTTTGTCCTTAGTTAGCCCACTGTTGTTTTTGGTTTTTCTCTTACTCGTGGCCAAACCTAGCCCTGTTTATATAGAAGGTAAATGAGCTTTCTCCAGCTGGTGACTGGTTTTGTAATAGAGTAGGAGGCAAGATCATCAAAACAGAATGAGAATGTGGGAGGGAAGTGGAGGGCTGAGCAGAGCGGGAAAGATATGAAATTATCATTTGGAAAGTGAGTGTGATCTTATTAGAGAAACATCGGAAAATGGCCAGACAAGTTCTTTCACAAGTTTCCAGAAATAGATACATAAAGAATCTAATTTTTAAGTACCCTGAATGAATAAAGAAGTGCATCACAACATTATTTATTGTAAAAAAAAAATAAAAAATAAAAAATGGAAATTACATAAATGCCAAACAGCAAGAGAATAGTTACATCACATCAGATTTTTTAAATAATTCTTAGGAAAAGTAAATAGAAACAGATAAAATAAATTTAAGGATGATTTATTCTCATCCTTACATTTATTATATTGAAACAGTGGGATATAAAATAATACACATAATATGATTATAACTGCACGTGGAGGGAAAAATGGGGGAAAGTACCAAATTACTAATAAAAGATTTTAAAGTTCCTCAGTGTTGTTGTGTTAATATTAAAAACTGTTATTTTTAACACAGCATGTGTGATCATCTCCTTGAGCGGGTAATAATCCCTAAAAGGTGAGGTGTGTGTGCCTCTCTGTGACCAGTGGCAGCTCCCACAGGGCTGGCACTCACTTCACAGACAGCTGAGTTGAATGCCTGAGGTTGCACCATGACCCGGAAGAGCATCCTCTCTTTAAGCAGAGGTGGTGTTTCTCTGTTGGTCACAGGTCTCTCACCAGATGGTGAGCACAAAGTGTGGGGGTTTTGCTCTTTACGTGCGTGCTGTGCCCCTCCCGCCTCTTCCCTGGGCCTCGGGCTTCTTCTGGTGGAGCTAGAGCCCAGCCCTGATGATATCTCCCCACATACACGATGACCAGTTTCCATGATGCGATGGGGGAGCAGGTTCTTTAAAAGCGTGGAATGACGCTTCAGACTAAAGGGAGAGCAAGGGCAGAGTGCTGACTTGAATGAGTAACCTCCATTCACCTCCACATGGTCTCACCCTTCCCTCATTTGTTCATTTGGATATGTGTTGAGTGTCTGCTACACTGGCAGGCACCCTGCTAGGTGGGAGAGATACACACCTCAGACACACCTCATGCAGCTCACAGTCTGATGGGAGGGAGGTAACGAGGTAGTTACAATACCATGGACTGGCTCCTGCCACAGGATGCCATGAGAACAAGCAGCAGGGCAAACTAATTGGTTAGCTGGAAACAATAATGCATTCTTTGGTAATTGAGTTAGGAGTGCTGCAGGATAGGGAGTGAGCAGGAGACGGTGATGGTAAGTGCAGGGAGGCTGGCTAGACAGGTCAGGCAGAGCCTGGTAAGACTTTTAGACTCCTAGGGAGGCCCCTGGAGGAATGTAAGCAGGGACTGATAATGTTACCATGGGATCCGGAAAAGTGGCTCCAACTCAAGACAGCACTACAGGGAAGTTCAAGATGACGGCTCTGTAGCAGGCCTGGAAAATGCCCCAGTGAAGACCAGGATGGGGCAGAGGGCTCCAAGAAGGGTGTGCAAGGAGGGCAGGGTGGAGAAGATTCTAAAAAAATACCTGGCATGCTGGAGCATTTAAAAAAAAAAAAAGTGTCTCTGATAAAAGTGAATAATTTACAGAACTAGGAAGACCTATCCTAAAATTCATGTGGAATCTCAAGGAACCCTGGAGAGCCCAACAATCTTGAAAAAAACAAACAAACAAACAAACAAACAAAACTGAGGAACGCACATTATCTGACTTTAAAACTTGCAAAGCTACAGCAATCAAAACAGTGTGGTGCTGGCATAAAGACAGACAAACAAGTCCAGGCCAATGGAATAGAATAGAGAGCCCAGAAATAAATCCTCAGATGATTTTTTTTTTTAATCCTCACCTGAGGATATTTCCTCCATTGATTTCCAGACAGAGTGGAAGGGAGGGAAGTTGGGGGAGAGGGGAGAGAAAAAACAACATGGGTATGATAGAGAAACATCAATTGGTTGCCTCCTGCATGTGCCCCCAATTAGGCCAGGGATGCAGCCTGCAAGGGTACGTACCCTTGACCGGGAATCGAACCCATGACCCTTCAGCCAACAGTCTAATCATTGAATCAAACTGGCCAGGGCCTCTCATGATTTTTGACAAGGGTGCTGTGGTGGAGAGACTATTCCATGACGTGGCCATTGTCTGTCCCACAAGCTGAACTCAGGCCAAAATAGAGGCTGCTTTTAGCAAACGTATGAGGCCATCTGATGACAATCAATGTTCATTTGACATAAGTCAGCTCTTTTCCCTTGCTGCCTAATATGTGCTGATTCCTGGAACAGGTTGTTGTCCTGACCTGGTCAACCATGTGAAGTGTTTTCCCATACTGATAGCTTTCACCTACTGGTCTTCCCCCTTCCCCTTTCACCAGAGAAATATCCACTTCATCTTACAAATACACCTCATATATAAGTTTCCCTTCATAAACTCTATTAGTTGCTGGATTGGAGTGGCCTGCTTCTTTCTTCCGTCTCATTCTGCTCTCCACTTACGATGGGAGATTTGAGTCTCGGGGCTTTTCCCTGAGTATCAGTAGAAAAACAGTGCCAAGATCATTCAATGGGGTAAGAACAGTTGTTTCAACAAATGATGCTGGGAAAACTGGGTATATACATGCAAAGGAGTGAAGTTAGACCCTTACCTAATATCATATACTAAATTAATTCAAAATGGATCAAGGACCTAAATGTAAGTCCTAAAACAACAGAACTTTTAGGAGAAAACATAGGGCAAAAACTTCACAATATTGTATTTTACAATAATTTCTTGATAGAACACCAAAGGTACAGGTAACAAAAGTAAAATATAGCTATAAAAACAGTAATGTCACCTGGCCGGCATGGCTCAGTGGTTGAGTGTTGACTATGAACCAGGAGGTCCCAGTACAATTCCCGGTCAGAGCACATGCCATTGCAGGCTCGATCCCTGGAGGGTGTTTCTGGGGAACCAGTTTCCAAGAAAGAGTACTTAAAATGAGTAAAGCTGGTTTGCCTCAGTGGATGGAGAGCCAGCCTGCAGACTGAAGCATCTCGCGTTTGATTCCATCCAGGGCACATGCCCAGGTTGCAGCCTGATCCTATGATTCTTTCTCATCATTGATGTTTCTCTCACCTTTCCCTTCTTCTCTGAAATCAATAATATATGTAAATATTTATGGGGTCAGCATGAGAGTCTATGTGATAACCTATTTTCTTCTTTGTTTATAAAACACACACACACACACACACACACACACACACACACACACACACACAAAACTGGAGCCTCCCACACTGTATGGAGCAAAGTCACAGAGCAAAGCCAGATGCAGAGCCAGCTTCTGCTATGGTGAGGCCCTGGAAGGATGGGATTCCAAGCTGGTCAAAGAGAGAGACAGCCCCGAGCACCCAGCAAGTTCAGACAGCACCAAGACTTCCCTAAACTCTGTGCAGCTGCAGGGGGAGGGGGAATTGCTGACACAGGGTCTCGGAAGCTGGGCTGAGCCAAGCGCCTGGGGCTTCGGGGAAGGCTGGATCAGATCTGGAGGACAGACGGGGACAGGTTGGGCCTCAAACCCAAGTGCGGAGTGTGGAACCCTCCCAGGGCGGGAGGACACCTCCCTCTCCAGGGGCAGGCTCTCCAGTCACCTGGGCATGCCTGCCTCTGGAAGACACTTGTGTCTGATCATGCTGAAGACGGTGGTTTTCCCTCCCCTGCGGCCCAGCCACTTCCCTGGATCTCTGGAAAGCACGGCCATGATCCCTGCCTGTCTTATTCTGAGGGGGGAACTTCCACATTAACCAAGACGAGTTACCCAGCACCGCTTAACCGCACGGCCACAAAGGAGGTCCACTGGGGAAGGATCGGGGAGCAACGGCACACAGGCCTGCTTCCTGTTAGGCAACCTCCTTTTAAAGAAACACAGAGCATTTCCCTTCTCAAGCAGATCCACGAAAAGGTTCCCTGAAATGAGCATTTCCATGGAGCATCTGAATAAGATTCTTTATGAAGCATGTGCTGACTCAGACCTTTTCGGGAACAGCTACCTCATTTGACGCCGGCCTCTCAGTTCTGATGGAATGTTCTTCTCTTGGGCCTGGTTGTAGTCCTGCGGCCCTGCCTGTCTTTCTTTTCTCTCTCTCCTCCTCCTGCTTCTTTGGGGACTTTGTTCTTTCTCCTCATTTGAGTGACTATCGCTCACTTCCTTTAATGGACACCTCGGTGCTCATAATCGCTGATAATCACAGGTGCT